ATGCACTCTCCTGAATCTATCATTACTGACGGGCCAAGGGATCAACTCAGATCAAAGAGTGCAGAAGGGCATGCCAGGAGTAGCATCGGGTGTACCTAAAGTGAGGTGTCAACCTGGTGAAGCTACAACACGGGATTACTTGCATGCCAAACAGCATTAGCAGCAAATGACAGATAGGGCTAAGCAATTCCACAAACAACAGATTGACAACTAGGCTCTGCAGAGTTGCCAAATCCAATCCTAAATAGTAATGGACAATTAAATATCTTATTGTAGGATTAGGTTCCATAAATATCCCCATTCTCAATGGTGTGGGAACCCAAACATCAGTGCAAAAGACAAGGCTGTAGCATCTGTATCCATTACAACAACCACCATAACCTTCAGCAGAAGTGCTGAGTGAATGCTCCATCTTGGGCTCCTCCGAAGGTCCCGAGTAATACAGATGTCAGTCTTAAGCCAATTCAGTTCATCCCATGTGTTAAAGAAATTGCTGAAGGCAGTGGATGCTGCAAAGCCTTTGGCCCTAAAACATACTGCCAATAGTACTGAAGACTTATGCTCCAGCAATGTGAACACTGGCATCTAAACAAAGCATGGAAAATTGACTAGAGCTGTTCTGGACACAAAATTCAGGACAAATCCAACTCAGTCGCTTACCACCCCATCTGTCCACTCCTGATTATCAGTAAAGCGATGGAAGGGATCATCAATAGAGCTGTCAAGCAGCACTTACTAAGCAATTAACTGCTCACTGGCACTAACAAAATCAAAATTAAGCTCCTGGCTTCATTTCAAACTTGTTTTAGCATGGACAAAGAGATGACAATAATAATTCCTTTTCACTGAATGTGACATTAAAAGATCCCTGGCAAAACCACAGTCACGAGAATCAGGGGACAATCTCTCCGTCAGTTGGTGTCATACCTGGCATAAAGGAAGATGGCTGTGGTTGTTGGAAGTCAGTCATCTCAGTTCCAGGACATCTGAGTATCTTAAGGTAGTATCCTGGTCCCAACCATAATTCATCAATGACCTTCTCTCTATCATAAGGGCACATGTAGGAACATTCATTGACAATCACATAACGGTATCTTTTGTGACTTCTCTGACACTGAAACAGATCATTCTCAAATGCAGCAAGACCTGGGCAATATTCAGATTTGGGTAAACAAGTAATATTCACACCACACAAATGCCAGACAACATCCATTTCAATAACAGAGAATCTAACCATCATCCCTTGACATTCAGTGACGGTAGACTGGCCATATAAATAAATGAGGTTAATGAGCAATTCAGAGGTTAGGAATCCTGGAGTGAGCAACTTAGTCCCTGACTCCCAAAGCCTGTCCACCATCTGCAAGGCACAAGTCAAAAGGTGTCATGGAATACTCCCCAATGGTTGGATGAGCACAGCTCCAACAACACTCAATTAACTTGATACCATCCAGGATAAAGCAGCTGACTCGATGTGAAATCTACAAGATTCACTGCAGAAATTCCCCAAGGCTCCTTCGGCACCAGTTTTCTAATCCTTAACCACTATCATTTAGAAAGACAAGGGCAGCAAATATATTGCAACCCACCACCAACTGCAGGTCCTCTCCAAGTTACTCACGCCTATCACTTGGCAATATATCACCATTCCTGTAGCTTCGCTTAGTCAAAATCCTTTAACTCACTCACCCTCAGCAATTTTAAAAAAATATAAGACTCTACCATGTCCTGTGGGGGGATTTCAGTCCATGGCCCCAGGGCTTTATCTAGGGTGTCTGGATTACTAGTCCAATGACAATACCACAACTCATTCCTGACTTCCCAAAAGCCTATCCACCATCCACAAGGCACAAATCAGTGGTGTGATGGAATACTCTCCACTTGCCTGGAGGACTGACACATCAAAAACACTCAAGATGATTGACACCATCCAGAACAATACAGCCTGATTGATAGTCACCAAATCCACAAACATTCAGTCCCTCCACCACTGATGCAAGGTAGCAGCAATGTATATCATTTATAAGGCACATTACATAAATTCATTAGGGGTCCTTAAACAGCACCTCACAAACCATGACACTACTACCTAGCAGGATAAGAGCAGCAGATACATGGGAACACCACCGCCTGCAGGCTCTGGTCCGAACCACTCACCATCCTGACTTGGAACTATATTTCTGTTCCTTCAGTGCCACAGGGTCAAAATCCTGAAACTCCCTCCCTAACAGCATTATGGGTACACCTCCACCAAACAGATTGCAGTATTTATTGAAAGCGTCTCATCACCACCTTCTCAAAAATCAACTAAGGAGGCTAATAAAATGGCTAATGAAGTGCACGAACAATCGAAAAAATAACTCCAGCTGTGAAACTGGCAGCATAAATGCAATTCTGTCTTTATTGCAGCAACTCTCCAACATCCTCGCAAGCACATGTAAAAGAACAAGCTGCTTCTATTTAGGGGCTAAGATAACAAGGCTTGAAACGGCAGCTTTCCTGCTCCTCTGATGCTGCTTGGCCTGCTGTGTTCATCCAGCTCTACACCTTGTTATCTCAGATTCTCCAGCATCTGCAGTTCCTACTATCTCTGAAACAATCTATTTAGGGGCTGCAGAGTTATGTTGTGGAGCTGTGCCGGTTTCCAAACACTGCCCCCACCCAACCCTGCAAAATAAAACAAATGGTCCCGATAGTTAGGACGACCTTGATCAAAAGGGAAAAAACATCTGAGTCAGATTGGAGATTACATTGATCACCAGACTGTCCACTCCAGCACTGCAAGATTTATCATTTCTTTCATGGCTTGAGAAAATGACTTTTTGCCGGAGACCTAGCTTCAAGTTTAAATTTTATTAAGCCGAGAACAAACCTTTCTCACTCTGCTCATTGACCCACACCCTCAAGCTCTCCTCCAATTCCAGAAGAGCCGTCAAAAAAGCAACTGTGCTATTGCCTTCTGTATGAGGGATCAGGTTTGAGAACAATAATCTTGGTATGCAAAACATTGTGGCCAAAAAGGACAAGACATTTTGCATTAGGGTCTTGATTTAAACCATATTGCAGTTGTAAAATGACATTTACCTTCACTTAATTAGTTGAATGGTACTATTCATCATTTAATTCATACCTTCAATGCTTTAGCATATTTGTCCATGACATTTTCCATAACCTCTTGGTTTAACAAAGGACCATGTTCTTTTATATTCACCTCTGGTGAAAGATCAGGATGACTCATAACATCGGGACTGCAAACAAAATGGTACATTTAGGCACCTGACTTTTAGAATATCGCACTCTTAAACTGGTACACCAATGAATTACCTCGATCTGTTTGAAGAACTAAAGGCTAATTAAGGCAACAATTGATAAAAACAAAATATTTCAGATGCTGGTAAACTAAATTAAATTCAGCAAGTGCTACTTTGGCAGCATTTGTGCAGAAAGAAAATTAACATTTTGAGTTGAATAAGACTTTTCTACAGACCTGACGCAAGGTAGCTGCATTGTTACAGTGAAGTTAAATGCAAGCTCGAGGTCTTCTAATTACCAAGTAAACAACTTACAGCCTTCTGGACTCATTGAGTTTGACAATTTCAAATGAACTCTACATCCCCCACTCCCCAGTCTGATTCTTTACCTTTTGAAATATGGTCCGAAGCTTGCTTAATGCATTTTTTCACCCCGACATATCCCTTCATAATTTTGCCATTCATGCACAATGGAGCAAAATGCTCTATTTCTTTACTGCAAACATTGGTTGTTCCTTTATTTTTTCTTGTATGACATCTTTATTATTTATCCTCTGCTGTCAATTACACTATCCCAGAACTTTGTGTTCTTCTCCCTCTACTATCAAACCAACACTTCTATCTTCTTTCAATTTTGAAGAAAAATTTCAAATGTTGGTTTCTGCTCATACGTTTAATTCTATTACTTGTTTTGTAAAGAAGGCTAATCAGACATTTTAAAAGGGATGCAGAGTCTTACAAAATGGTCCCCATAAGTCACAATGATTACTCATATCAATCAACAGCAAACAAAATGCAGGCAGACTGATATGTTGCTATTTCAGCAATTGCAAAAGGGAGACATTCAAAATTTGTCTATTCCCGTTTGCTTGGGGTGGCAAGGTAGCTAGTGGTTAGCACTGCTGCCTCACAGTGCCAGGGATCTATGTTAGATTTCAGCCTTGGGCAACTGTCTGTGTGGAATTTGCACATTCTCCCCATGTCTGCACAGGTTTCCTCCTGCAGTCCAAAGATGTGCAGGTTAGGTGCATTGGCCATGCTAAATTGCCCATATAGTGTTCAGGGATGACTAGGCTAGGTGGATTAGCCGTGGAAAGTGCAGGGTTATAGAGACATGGTAAGTGGGTGGGTCTGGGTGGGATGATCTTTGGAGGGTTAGTGTGGACTCAATGGGCCGAATGGTCTGCTTCCACACTGTTGGGATTCATGATGATTCCTTGGATCCTTCTAAATCTGTGAGAATCCAAAGCTTCTAAGAAAACAGAAGCCTGGAAGGTCATCACCAGCAATTCCTGCCTGACTGACTTTGCTATGCAGAACAATGATACAAAGTTGACACAGCAGCTATTTTGCTTTGATTGTGGCAAGACAGACTGTGAAACACCATTCCATCAGAACTCCAAGAAGATGATTCCACTAGGAGGGTAAGAGTTCTCAGAGAGAGACAGATAAAAGCAAACCAGCTGAGGAGTGCTGTATTGAACAAAGCTACCAAGAGCAATAACTTGCAGTAATATAAAAATTAAATAATGGAACTTTCACTCTCTTCCAGAATTGGTTCTGCTCAGTCCACTTGTACAAGCAATCTCTATTTGACTACAGAATTCATTGCAGCTGTTGAATTCTGATTTCAAGTTTACAATCCCTTCATTTACTTTTAATCTTTGTATCTATGTTTTAGCTAAAACTGTATAACTTTTACTTAGTAACATTCAGCAATAACTGTATAATAAACTAACCATTGGTCTTGTCTAAGAAAAAGCTTTGCTGGTCATTTTTACATTGCAAAATTTGCAAACACAAAATTTGCCTGCCACTCTGCTGATGCACCTGGTGTGCTCATGCCAAATCTCTGCAAAAAAGTAAAATTCACATGAGAATTGAATTCTATAGTGGAGAGAACAGGTTTGTTTCAATGTGTGGGAAACATCAAAATGACAAATCACTGTCAGCTATGGTAACTCCCTTGTTGTTAGTAACAGAACATAATAAGCCATGATCTAAAAGCAGACTCCTTATCCAGTATCCTGACAAATATGATGCAGAGCATAGGGAGGAGAAAGATGGAAAACATTCAGCTAAAAAAAATGCTAATAAAGTAATAAATTAAACATATGTTGAGCCGTTACTGGGAGCAACGATATAATTTGATGACCCTCCTTGAACCACTTGCAACTGTAATACAAGCTCAGTTTACTTATTTGCTGAGTGAAAAATTAATCAGATTCAGTGGATAAGAAGCGAGATCAATGGAAATTCAGGTAAAATGTGATCAATAGGAAAGAAGCATACTTTACTAAGAATAAGAAAGCAAATTTCTTCTCTAAAGTGGTCAAATAAATTTAAAAAAAAATCAATGTCAAGCATATTTGCCGAGCCTTTAAGTATGAAAGTTTAACTTTTCACACAGTTAAGATTCTACAGACTGGCTACATGGTTGTATTTATACAAGTTCAGTGCTGTCCTAGAGGGGTATACTGTGACTTGGCGGTTGGTTGGTTCAGTTGGCTGGGCAGCTAGTTTGCAATTCAGAGGGATATCTACATTGTGGGCTAAGCTCCCACGCCAACTGTGGTTACCATGAAGAATGAGTCACCTTCTCAACCATTCCCATTGCCTGAGGTTTGGTGACCCTCAGGTTAAACCACCAGTCATCTCTCAAATGAGAGAGCAGCATTATGGTCCAGAAGGACTGTGCCAACTTTACCTTTGTTTAATAACTGTTCTAATGGAAAGTCATTGACCTGAAATGTTAACTCTGATTCTCTCTCCACAATGAGTTGTTATGTATTTTTGTTTTTGGTTTGCTTTCAGTTTCCAGCATCTGCAGAATCTTGTCTTTATATTAGTAGCAGTATAGTTATAGTTACTGTAAAACTGTATTGTACATGAATTCATAATTATCTAATAATAATTTATTAAATGATATGGAGAGAAATTAACAAGAACAGAAAATAGAAAACATACCTTTGGTAGGTGTGAAGAACCCAATTGAGAAACGAATAAAGTTCATTACATTCAAGATGGTTCTGTTGGATGCGCTCCAGGTGAGAAGATACATCACTGTGATAGCATTCTACATACATGCTAAAAACCTTGTAATTTTCAGGGTAACATTTTTGTATGAAATCTTTCACAATTTTCAGATCTTCCAAAATAGTTTGTTGAAGCTGTTCCAAATGTAATGCAAGCCATTTTGCATCCTGCTGCTTTGTAAGTAAACGCACAGTAGCTATTCTTTCTTGCACACTTTTACAAACTGTTTCTTTCCACAAATCATTCCACTTCCGTGGACGTCTGAAACAGTTAGTGGTAGGAGGATTCATCCTTTCTTCCCATTTTTTGTCTGCTGCTTCTTGCAGTTCAACAACTTTCAATGCCACACACAAAATTCTACTGTCTTGTTGAGCTACAGTGAATGAATTTGAGACTATGGAAGTTATTTTTTCAGCAAGCTTGTCGCAGAGCAAGTTAAAATCGCGAACTTTTTTTATGTATTCCTGGTGGTATTTTTCATCTTTTTCAGGCTCTCTTTCATTGAATAACTCTTCTTCCAATTTATTTATATTTTCATTTGCCTCTAGTAACAGGTTTTGGGATATTAACTGGTTTATTTCCATTACTGCAAAACATTTAAATAGAATAACTAGTTTAAAAGCATTATATTTTGTGCACTATTTGTAGTAACAGCTTGTAATAATTTTTATTTTTCTGTTGGGTTTCACAGGTAAATGTGCACACAATATACTATTGGAATGAAGGCTTTGAAGAATATTTCACATTATGTTATTACTACTGTATTAGGAACTGTTTCTAGATAGAAAGATGCTGATCAGAAACAGGCCGGGTTCTTCAATGAAGAAATTAGTAAGTTTCTTCAATAGCTTGACCTGTGAATGCATGGTGTGGCATTAAGCTTTAGAAACCACTAAGTTTCCAAGTTCAGTCCTAATGAATTAGCTACGCTCAGGTGGATCTGCGACTTGGAGTTATACCCAACTTCATTGACCTGGAGGTACAAAAAAAGGGGGAAATTGCCCATAGTTCCTGCACTTCAGACTTTGATCTTATACAGATATAATAATTTCATACATCACTTAAATGAGGTAAGTATTAACTTATGAGCTGCTGAAGCATATAGAAGTTACTCAGTTGAACACTGATGGACATATCCAAAACAATCGATTACAAATCAAGAATCTGTGACCATGGTGTGATGCTTCAGTCAGAGCGCACTTTGAGAAGTCAGTTTCTTTGGCAATCAGCAATGAAGGAAGTGTTCCAATTTTGGTGTAGTACAAAGAAGTCCATAAAACTGATTCACAGGCAAGGAAATTGATTTACATCCAGAGTTTACAGTACATTTCCCCAACATTAAGGGTTAAAAGTAACACAAAATTGGTCCTCTGGATTCATTCATATTTGTGTGCACATTCTAATCAGGAGGAGCATAGAGTCAGGATGCATTCCTCCACCTGGTTTCCCGAGAATGCTTCTTCAAATTAAAAAATAAAAGTTAATTTTGTTGGTAGCAGCAACCTTGAGATTTGGATGTTATAGTTAGGTACAGAATTGACGAAGAGTTGAAAGATTTTTTTTTAAGTGTAATCAATGTGATGACAGCCTTGTTTTGATACAAGTTATATGCAGCACTTTAACATATGCAGGATTCTGTGATTAAATTGTAACGTGAATCAAAAACATTTTTCAGAAAACACAAAAACAGAAAATCAGAGTGGAAACTGGCCACTTCTGCTGGGCAATTCCACTACACCTGGAAAACCTCCAAAAGTCTCTATTTAAATTGGAGACTTCAGATGGTTCTGAATAAACAGTTATTCAGGAACAGTTAAACTATTAAATATATAGTGCAACTCCTGAGTAACTATTAAAACAGACCCCACAATTGCCTCACACACATGTTACTACATCCCAGACTGTGACACAACAATTACCCCAACCTCCCCTGCCCCAACTACTGGGACCAGGCTGGAGCTGACCTGCCTAACACTTGACTTGACCCTTCATCACCTCTCTCCTCCTCCCCCTGCTGGGCTTGAACCGACAACACACTTGTCGCAAGACCCATCCCGAGCCCCCAGATGCTCCCCACTGCTGGACCTGAACCCTTCAGTCCTGACAGCCAACAATCCCACCTCTACTAGGTCCAATTTCTCACCCCAATCTTGTCCTACCCTAAACAATGAAACACTTACCTTGTCACTTTGCACCCTATCACCATAATCTTTTCCACTTGGCACTGTATGTCTACTCATCTGGTGTCCTACCCTCACCTCAGCAGGCACTTTACCCACCTTGCACCCTACCCTTCCAGCACCCCAACATCACACTCATCTTACTTACTTAGGGTTTGACAACAGCTGTCAAAATGGCTGTCAGGACCTTTAAAATTTCAGAAGACTGTAGCTAATTGCCTTGAAAACAGGATGTAGGTTTCATTTTCCAGTGTTCTGAAACAACTGTCAAAATGTCAGGGAGCACTTATTGGAATCTCCTTTCAGAAATTCAGACCTCCCTGCCTTTGTAAAAGAGAAAGGCTGGAATGGCAATCTGTGTTAGAGTGTTATTCCTCAGAAATTCCAACCCAAAGTTCCTCAATCTATCACCATTTAAATAACACTCCATTATTCTGTTTCTCCTGCCAAAGTGGATAACTTCAGACCTATCTACATTATGTGCATTTGTCAACTCACTCAACTTGTCTTGAAGTTACCTTGAAGCCTTTTGACTTCCTCCTCACTACTCAACTCCACTTAGGTTTTGTGTTATCTGCAAACATTACAAATACTAGGGCAGATATTCCACTGGCTGGACAGTTGTTATTCCAGCATAGATCAGAGTTGCACATGGGGACCTGCATATTTCCCATCATAGCACACTCTGAAGGAATTGGCTGGAAAATTGAAATTTCTTCCAGTCAATTTCTGTAAGCCTGAAACCCTCTGAAAGTCTCCATTAAAGTTGGAGACTTTGGATGGTTCTGATGAAATGTGGTAAAAATAATCTAACTCCTGAGTAACTATTAAACTGACCCCATACTTAGCTCAAAACCCCAACTACACTCCCCAGATTCTGACCTGACACCCCCAGGGTTCAACATCTCCTCCCCAGGGACATTACATAGCCCTATTCCGCTAGACTCGAATCCCATCCTGCTATGGTCACTGGACCTGATCCCCTGCTGGACCTGAACTAACTCTGAACACACACCCTTGTCCCCTGCCACTGGAATTGATCTCCATATCCTAGCCTACAACTCCCACCCCACAATCAGACCAAACCTAATCCGACATCCCTGCTGCCGGACTGACCACCAATTCCCCTCCCACACCGGACCTGACCTGAACATCCAAGACCTGACACCCACTCCTTCTGGCACCTTGCGCCCCCCTCCCCAGCTGGCACCCTAAAAAAAAATCACAATTACCTTATATTGCTTATTGCAGGTGTCAGAGTGACTGTCAGGACCTTCAAAATATGGCAGCTGACTGCTGTGAAAACAGAGTGAGTGTGGTTTGCCTCCTTCTGACAGTTCAGTGCTAAGGAAGAAATGTCAGAATGGAAATATGGCTCTGCATTTCTGAGGGAGTGCACAGTTGAATCTGCTCGCTGAGATGTACAGCTTCCTTCTATCATAAAAGAAAATAGGGCTGGATTGGCAATCTCATGCAGATTGCCATTCCCTGGTAAATCTTGCCCATCATATTTGACTCCCTCATCCAAATTAGTGCTCTATGTTGTGAATAGGTGGGGCTCAGCAGTGATCACTGTGGTACTTTCATTCTGGTAAAGACCCTTTTAATTCCTTCTGTTTTTGTCTCTTACCTGACAGCGGCAACTTTGTGTTCTCAGTTGAGCATTTAGCATCTTGGTTTTCTACTGAATTACACTTTTCTTCCTGTTCTTTGATGTCTACTTTCAAATTATTTACTGTATTTTCATCTGACACATTTACTGTTTTGTTTTTGGTTGACGTCAAACTTAACCTTTTGCTCAACCTTTTGCTTATATTTCTAAGTATTCCAGGCTCTTTTCTCGGATTTGCATCAGGCTCATCAACCTCCACGTCACTGGTTTCTCGTGATACTTTTTTACTATTATGGCAGAAGCTTGGTTTGTTTTTGGTCATCCCGGTTTTAACATCTGAAGCACTGCAAGCAGCCTGGCTTCCATCAGGCGAATCTTTGTCTCCACGTAAATCATCATTTGACACTATTTTTGAATTTGACATCTTTCGCTGCCAATTTTCTGTTGTGCCTCTAAATGCGAGTAAAATTGCAGTATCTTCTTGATACTTAAAAGAATAAAATTAATCATGTATGTAGGTTTATATGGTTGAGTACTGAATTACAGATTTTTAGTCATACAAGTGCCTTAAGTGTTGTATATTTGAAAAATGTCCACCAACTAAAAAGAAATGGAAAAAAATGTTAGAATTTTTTGTTAAGAAAGATAGATTTCAAACTACTATATGGAACTGGAATTTAGTAACATTGTGACCAATTTCTCTCGCAGACAGCACAGTAACTGCAATTACATTCTATATATTTTTCAAGTTTGTTTTGGACAAAAGGTTATGAAACAGTTCGATTATGTGATGAGTTTCAAAAGGCAGTTAGTACCTTAATGGGTTATCTAACATCACAAGATTAGCTTTGCCCTTTAAGATACAAAGAACTGTTCCTCAGACATGCTAACCAATGTGTGTTGTTACAATGCAAATGTTCTATGTAGCTATATAGTAATATAGTCACTCTCAAGTCTGGTCTATACAAGTCTCTTGCGAGACTCAAGGTATTAAGTACTGTGTAATAAACCATTCAAAAAGACTAAGTGTCTCTCCTGCCAAAATCTTAGTGTGGCATCCTTTTCTACTAGGTAGACTGGGCTTGTACTCATTGGAGTTCAGAAGAATGAAGAGAGGCTTTATTGAAACATACAGGATTCTTAGGGGTTTTGATAGGGTAAATGCAGAAAGGCTGTTTGAGACCAGGACCAGACGGCACAATCCCAGAATAAGGAATCACCAGTTAAAACAGAGATGAGGAGGAATTTTGTTCTCTCTGCAGGTAGTCAGTCAATCTGTGGAATTCTTTACCACAGACAGCCAACAAGACCTGGTCATTAAGTATATTCAAGGCTGAGACAGAGATTCTTGATCATTAAAAATTAATTAAGGGCTTATGAAGATACATCAGTAAAGTGGAGCTGACAATGATCAGCTCAGACATGATCTCAGAATGTTGGGACACATTCAATGGACTGAATGGCCTACTACTTCTTTTCACATTTTACAGTCTTTGGTATCAACATCTCAAACAAACAAACAAAATGGATTATTGGTGGTACTGAATCTATCCAGGGTATCTCAGATGGCTCTGATGGACATGACCACAGCACATACCAGTTATGCTCTCCAAGCTCTGAGCTTCTGGTTCAAAGCCAAAAACAGTAACATTATCAGAGTGGTTTAAACAAGGGAGTAGAAGCAATTTGGACACTATTAACCTTACATCAAATTAAACAACATACTTGGATTTGCTACAGTCACAGCTAAATTAATTTCTTGGGAATTCAATCACAAAAAGATAGCTAAAACATATCTGGAGAAGATTATCTAAATTTATATTATATGAATTCCAAGTTAAGTATATTGCTGGAAGAAAAGATTCAAGTGAGATATAATCACACATGGAGCATTAAGTAAATATGCAAATCAGTCCATCAACAGTCAACTAATTATATTGAAATTTAACCTTTTAAAAATGGTACACAGTCTGACATGAACCTCAAAACATGAAAGAAATATCCAATCTTAAAAAAAGTGGAGGAAAGAAGATATTTTAAACAAAAGGAAAAAAATCTAATCATTTTCTACTCCTTATGGAGCTCTTCTTTTCAGAACAGATTTATTCTTCTCTGTTCCGTCAACCTCATCTGGATCGCCAACCCATCCTTGAATCAGTTCAATCAAAAATTTTTGTATCTCCACATGGACTACCGCAACTGAAGTAATATGCTGCCATTGAAAAAAGGGCCACCACCTTTCTCATTATGTTCACCCCAGGTTTCTTCACCGGCAGTGCCATGCTACTTGGGAATTTAAATGTCACATTCTGAGTACTACGACATTCCAGTAAAACACTGGATCATTATGATGATGCCATCCATGATAGAGCCAAATAAAAAGGCATTTCACAGTTTTACATGTGACTGTGCCAATCAGTTACCTTTGAATTTCAGCGAAGTAGGCATACAGCCAAGGTAAATGTAAGTCTATTTATGTCAGAGATGAATTTCCTACTCTGTGACCAAGGAATTGACCAAAACATTAAATGAAGGCAGAAAGGTTTTTTTAAGAATTTACACCTCCCAAATAGAGAAGGCTTTATGTAATACTTACACTCCCTTCCCACTTAAATTCTCAAAATGTAAAATGATAAAAAATATTACATGACAAGAGGTACAAAAGGATTTCTTTTTCATCTCCTACCTCCTCACATCTCCAAGCAACACCAAATATTTTCAATTACCTGTCTGAATTATTTTGCTTTTTGTCTGGATATCTCTTCTCTTTTCCATTAGTTTAACACTGCTCTCTCTCAATATCTCTGGGTCGAACCTTAACTTAATTACTGCCTCAACCTACTGGTTTGGAATGTGACATTGGCTGATCAGTCTTAATCAAAGATTCCTAGCTCACTTTGCAGTCTTCACTTTGTCTTGCTTTTCTCTCATTTCATTCAATGCAGGTTTAGGCAAACTAAACCTAATCCTAAGAGTGTTTTTTTAAACTCTCCTGTTGTAATCTTTAGTTGGACCATACAGAACAGAGAAATTGTCTAATCTGTGTCAAAGAGAAACATGGAAATTAATGCCTAGCTTGTCACTGACAAAACACTTCTGCAAATATCTTTTTTCAGCATGTACACTTCTTTGTGCAGCACCATTTAATGTAGAGCAATGTGGTGGTATTAGATTCCCTTCTTACCCTGAAATATTTCAATCTCTTCTCCCTCCATCACTGACGCTCAGTAGCAGCGGAGTGCACTATTAACAAGACACACTGCAGAAATTCACCAAAGATCCTCAGACGGCACCTTCCAAGTCCGCGACCACTTCCATCTGGAAGGATAAGGGCAGCAGATACATGGGAACACCACAACCTACAACTTCCCCTCCAAGCCACTCACCACCCTGCCTTGGAAATATAATCACTGCTCCTTCACTGTCACAGAGTCAAAATCCTGGAATTCCCTCTCTAATGGCATTATGGATCAACCCACAGCTGATGGACTGCAGCAGCTCAAGAAGGCAGCTCACTAACACCTTCTCAAGGGCAACTAGGGGATGGGCAATAAATGTTGGCCAGCCAGCCAGCAACATCCACATCCCACAAATGAATTACAAACAACTGCAGAGCATAATCTGAACTAACATATCTGGTAACCTACAAATTGCAAAGCAAGGTCTCAAACCTTAATACCATTGGCACTTGCAGCATTGAGCATAGACTCAATATTTATCCACTTGTTATATGTATCAACCTAAAAAACAAAGTACTCTTTCTAGTCCAGTTCAAACAAATTGACACATACCCATTTGTACAGTTTTGTGTTTGACCATGGAAAGAAATAAATATTGGTTGAATCATACAGTATGGAAGCAGGCCATTTGGCATATCGAGTCCGCACTTATCCTCCAAGGAACATCCCACCCAGGCCCACCCGTCACTATCCCTGTAACCCTGAATTTCCCATGACTGATCCACATAGCCTGTACATTCTTGAACAGTATGGGCAATTTAGCATGGCCAATTCACCTAACCTGCACTGGGACTGTGGGAGGAAACTGGAGCACCCGGAGGAAACCCACGCAGGGAGAATGTGCAAACTTCACACACACAATCGCCCAAGGCTGGAATCGAACCTTGGTCCCTGTTGCTGTGAAGTAGCGGTGCTAACTGCCGAGCCACCATGCCGCCCCTTCATTTCTCATCCCGAGAACCACTTTACAGCAATTCTTTTTTATCTCCCTCTACCTTTGTATATCAAAACAACTTATTCCTACTGCTTTCACACAAACCATCTGTGTGCTTATAACGCCATTCCTCTAATAATTTCTCTCCAAACCTTGGTGGAGTGGCTTTTAAACTCCATCAGAGATAGTTGCACCTGTCCAGGCAAATGGAGAATATTCCATGATCCTCCTGACTTATGCCTTGTAAGAAAAGGCATTGGGAAGACAGGAGAACAGTTACTGCAAAACCCCTAGCTTCTGACAATGCTCATGTAACCATAGTATTTAGATAACTGGTCCAGTTCAGTTTCTTGACAGTGACCCACCTCCCAAAAAGATGTTGATTCAACAACGGCAATACCAATCAAAAAGCAGTGATGGTTTGGGATGAAAACTATTACATTGGTACATCATTAGAAGTGCAACAGACAGTGTAATGTTTTCAAAAGGTTTTTAATCCATGAAACTAACTGGAAAAATCAGTTTTCATCAAGTTACTTGCTGCTTAGGGATTGCACTCAGGAGGCCTTCAACAGCGTTCCATCTGGAGAATTTCAGATTCAACAACAGCAGCTTCCAGATTTTTATACATTTGGACTCCTGAAATTGCTGCCCACTTCTTTACAGCAAGGATCGTAAGGCAAAAAGTTTTACTGCCATTATCATCACAAAATACAGGTCATTAATATAATGTAACACTTCAAAAGTAATATTTCATTGTAAACTGCAATGCTTAATCCTATCATTTAAAAAAATTAAGGAAACTTCAATCAAATTTGTTTTTGTTTATAACATTCACCACCACCTCTCAAGGACAATCATGGATAGACAATAAATGCTGGCCTAGCAAATGTCACCTACATTCTTCAAACGAAATAAAAAAAGGAACGAAGATTAGTAGTAAGAACACTTGCAAGCGTTCTAAGGGTCAATTCACTTGTCAAACTTACATTTTTCTGCAACACTAAATAAAAGATTTATTTTTAAAAAAGATACAAACGAAAACGAAACAAAACCTGAATAACAAGGAAGTAGAAGGAAGATAATTAAGATTTGAACTGTTTACAAAAACTTACAGTTTCGAGGCATAAAAATATAAACATAAAGGGAAACCATTCGGTTTGGTCAATGCTGAATTGAGTTCTACCTTAGTTACCCCTCAGCCTGTGTCTAGGTCATTTAGGAAACCCGCTCGAGGCCGTCATCTAGCGCGAGATCCGGGTGAAACTTGGCTGCTGATTACACCAGGTGTAGCTTCGCGCGGTTGAGATTTGTGAGCCAATGTAGGGTACAGGGGCTTTTGTTTTAACCGTTGTCATTCTTTTTCTTTCCGCCAAACCACATTAACCGCGACAGAAAACAATATCTCTCATCTTCCTCTTTCACCGCCTCGTTATGGCTTCGCAGAACCGGTAAGGTCTGAAAAACAACCGGAGGCATGCTCCACCCAATTTTTGACCTATTCATATGAGTGAGAACCGTAACTAGCTTCTCGTTTCATCGTTAAGACTAGCTCTTTAAATTGGTACATCGTCATTGCTAGTCATGGTATAGAAAGAGGTCTATCGGCGCATAAGCTAAATAATTATCAGTGGTATGCTTATGACTTTTAACTTTCTGACTTGTGTCAAAAAGTTTCAATTTTGAAAAAGTTCCTTTAACCTTTTTGACTGAAAATGCTGTACAGGACCTAAGCGGATAAACTCTTGCATAACTCCAAGTATATACAACTTTAACTTTTTATCATACTTCTGTTCCATGTATTGCAGTGTGGTTTTGTCCACAAGTTCAAATATAAATCAAAATAATTTTAAGGAGAGTGGAGCTGATGTTGTGAATCCTACTTCTCAAACTGGGGATTAATGCTTTATTTAACTTTATTCACGTTAACTAATAAATTATAGTTAATCCACTGTTAGAAGGATCAGTAACCATGGACACAAATTTTTGGTAATTGGCAAAACAACTAGAAGGGCGATGAGGAAGAACTTTAACACAGCAAATTTTGTGTTCTAGAACATTATCAAAAATGATGGCAGATGCTGATTCATTAGTTCAGATTTTGTAGTTCGTAATGAAAAAATTAAGACCACTAATCTGGAAGGAAGCTGCCAACAAAAGTTTAACAGGTTCACTGTGGTTTCTATGCCCTGTTACCAGTGTTGGTTTTATTCTAGCCCAGTCCAAAAGTGATACCTAGCACCCAGGAACTGTAAAGTCATCTTGCAAGCTGAGCAGTCAAACAGGTTGAAGGCTTCTCAGACAGCAAAAGAATTAAAATAATCACTATTCACTTTTTGTAAAAACAGGAAGTTTTGGAGAAATTTAGCAGGTCTCACAGCATCCATGTAAAGAGAAACAAAGTTAACATTTTGAGTCTGATATATCTTTTGAATGATTACAGGCTTTGGAGTGGGGAGGGAATGTAATGGGCAATCAGAGGATGGGACCTCGGAGACACCTCTCAGGGCATGTCAGATGCCTTGAGAGGGATATCAAGCTTGGCGTTGGAAAAATGTCTTCAGAAAGGAAGGTTTGCAGACTCTGGACAGGGTGGATTTCTGAGATGTTAGATGCCTCAGCGGAGAGTTTCTGTGAGGTGATCAATCACAGTGGGCATTGAAGTAGATACATTGAATCAACTAGTGAGTGAAAATATGCTTTTCCAGATCCAGCAGCCTTTGCCTTCCTGTAGCCTTCATATTCCCTTTTGTGTTGCTGTCCCGGTGGTTCCAATGAGATTTCAGTCTCCCATCCATATCTGTTAAGACCCTTGTATACTGCAAGTGATCATTATCATTCAGCATGAAAGAGGCCCTTCAGCCATCATATCTACGTCAGCCAACAAACACCAAGCTACACTAATCCTGTTTACTTGCAATTGGGTCCATAGCCTAAAATTTTAAAATACTCAACCAAATGCTTATTATGTTTTTCGACCGTGTCAGTTTCATTAAGTTTCATGGAGGGTTTCTATTCTCTAAGCCTAGTGGATTTTCTTGATCTGTCTTACCAAACCCACTTCATTAACTACATACACCACCTGACTTGTCTGGTATTACCCCATTCTAACAGTCACCATACACTGAACAAGTCGCCACTGCCAAGATATTCTGACATGGGCTGGCATCTCTGGCACTGGCACCATAATTAAAAGGCGGTTATGTATTTGGATAAATGCTGATGGTTGGGAACTGCCCTGTATGTTTTCTGACACTTGCCCTAAATGGAAAAGTTGGTGCCTGCTTTGCAGACAGGCACCTTGAGGTCTTCAGTGGTGACTACATTGCTGAAATTGACCCAGTAGGGTCTCGTGGTAGCAACATTGTCAGTAGTGGCAGGATGGTGCTGAAGAATGACAACACAGTTCTGGATGGCAGTGTGGTGAGGAGTTCTCATGCTGGTGTTGGTCTCAGTGTTAGGGTGGAAAAGTCCAGATCCAGGCCCATGGCTAAGCACTTAAGCAGGACTTCAAAGCTTAACTTTTAACTTTATTTCTTCATTTTCTACTTTATACTGAAGATTTTGTACCTGAGATGGCACTGGAGCTTGGTGACTTTGTACACTTTTCACTGTATTCCTGTATCCCATGTGACAGCAAAACTTAATTCTAATTCTACTACTAGAAACTGTGCAGTCTCAGCCATATGGAGGAATGCAAAATAGTGGAGGAAGACCTTCTCCGTTCTATCAATGTAGTGTCACTATCTTCTCTCTGTTATCTCACACTTACTCTGCCCCTGCTGCTGCACCCACCTCCCTACAAAGCTTTATCTCTCTCACTATTGCCTGCGACATCTTCCCTTGTGTGCATTGTCTCACCTCAACTCCTAACACCACTAACCCTGAATGTCCCCTGCTCTGCTCAGTCACTCACTTACACCAAAAGTAAAAGCTCTGCCTCTCATTTTCATCTCACTTAATTCCTGCCTCTCAATCCTAGGGAAACCAGCCCCTAATAGTGCAGAAATACTTTGACAAGTTGGTCAAATGGGCAGACAACTGGCAGATGAATTTCAATGCAGAGAAATGTAAGGTAATGCATTTTGGTAGAAGATACATGGAGAAATAATGTAGGCTCAATAAGGAGGAATCTCTGCTTCATGTGTATAATCTCTGAAGGTTGTCAGGCAATTTGAGAGAATTGTTAAGAAGTCTTTGGGCGTATAAATAGAAGCACATAAAAGCAAGGAAGTGATGCTACACCTCTACAAATCATTTGGAGGATTGTGTTAAGTTTTGGAACCTTCTTTAAGGAAATATTTTAAAGCCCTGGAGAGAGTACAAAGGAGATTTACTAGAATGATACCAGGAATGAGGGCCTTTAGATACAAAGAAAAATGAGAGGGGTTGGGCTTATTCTCCTTGGAGCAGAGAAGATTAAAAGGTGACCATATTGAGGTGTTCAAAATTATGAACAATCTTGACAGGGAAAAGAAGATTATTCTGTTGCCACAAGTTGGTATGTCTGTAACTAGAAGTCACAATTTCAAGATTGTCAGCAAGAGAGTTAGGAGTGAGATTAGGATTTGGAATGCTCTGTCTGGAGAGTGTTGGTGGCTGATTCCGTAGGAGGTTTCAAAGGAGAGCTATACATTTATTTTAAAATGATAAATTTAAAGGCTACCGACAAAGGGCTGGAGAACGGTTGCCAGTGCAGTATTGTACAGTAAGTGGATCAGAGATGTGTCATGAGGTTCTGGGAGGTTAGTACTTCAGATGCCAAAGTTTGTAGACATGGCGTGCATGTAGCCAGTGACCATTCAGTGTGCCCTGGGTTGTTGTGGTGTCCAACAAGGTGTGTTGGAGCAAGTGGTGAACTGAAGTCCCAAGGTACCCACTCTGACTTCCATCTCAAGAATTCTCGGCATCCATTTGCTCATGATGGGTACTATGATAGAAAGCTGCATATTAATGAGACCTACAGTTATTCAGGTTGTTAACAAGTAATAATTCCCCTTAAATAGGTGACTTGCCACTGCCTAGCAAAAATCTTGCCTCGACACCCAGAACTTAATTAAAACATGCAGAGAGTTGTTCCCAACATTGAGGTTGATCTTGCTGAACTTCTCATGGGATTCAACCATAATTCTCACCATTGCCCATGTTATTCAGATCCCTAAAAGATTCTAGCCTTTATCTTTTCATCATTGGGACATCGAGATCAATGTGGTTGGAGACAAGTGCAGGGGTGTAGCTTTCAGAGATGAATTGAATCTCTTAAAATTAAATTAATTAATCATTTAAGGGCCTTAATTTTGGTTGGGTAAAGAAAGCCCAGTTGACCTTCTCACCCAGACCTTAATTGGCAAGAAGTGAGTGAGTATTTCTCCAGGATCAACTCGCCCAATTATTTTCCCTTTCACTACCAACACCACTATCTGAGGTAAGGGAACTATTTCACCCACAGTTGCAAGTTGGCTGCAGAGTAAAGCTTTCTGACTCCAACATGGAACTTCTAAAGTATAAAATTGTCAAAACTGAGGCTTCCTAAACTGTGGATCATGAACCCTTCAGGAATTACCAGCTGAAATTTTGAGATTGCTACCTTGCAGGTTGCAATGTTTGCTGTGGAATTATTACTGGATGCTAACAGCTGTAATGCTTATCAATCAACACATTTTTTCAATAGTAGCTAAGGTCGAACTAGCAGTCTTTGAGGTCTGATTGATTTCTTACAAAACCCTCTGAAAAATAAATGCTGCTCATTTTAAAAACTCTCTGGATTAAACAATTCCCTCCTCCCACTTCACTCTCACCCTTCACCCTTTCACTCTTGCCCCTGCCATGATGGTCACAGGTCTCATCCATATACTGCCTATCATCAAAAGTCCTCTGCCTTAACTCCTCCAGACTGATAGGGGTTTGTGATGGCTTTATGGTATTGTCACTGGACTAGTAATACAGACATCCAGACATCCCTGGGGACCTGAATTCAAATCTCACCATGGCACATGGTCAATTCTGATATTTTTAAACAATTGCTAAGAGTGATTGAGTTCCAGGATTTTTGACTCGGCAACATTACAGGAATGTGAGAGTGGTGAGTTGCTTGGAGGGGATGTGCAAGCGGTGGTGGTGTTGCTATGTATCTGCTGCCCATGTCCTTCTAGAAGGACATGGTTGAGGGTTTGGAAACTGATGCCTGTGAAGCTTTGGGGAATTTCTGCCATGTATCTTGTAGGTAGGTATTGGAGGGACTGAATGTTTGTGAATGTTGTGTTTATGAAGCTAGATGCTTTATCCTGGGTGTTGTCAAGTTTTCTGAGTTTTGTTGGAGCTGTGCTCATCCAGCCAGCTGGGTAGTATTCCTCAACCCCTGACTTGTGCCTTGCGGACAATGCACAGTCATTGGGGAATTAGGTAAATTACTCTCTTGTAGTATTCTTAGCATCTGCCAGTCC